ACACACTAGCTCGAAACAGAATCATAAATTACCTGGACCTCACCGTAACTACTTTTCGCTTAACTCCGCTAGATATTCTCGCCAGGCTTATATACTAACAAAGAGGTTTCTCCAAAATTTGCTAAATCCCCAATAATTCGAGAAATTCAGTCACACATGCGCCAGCAGTGTCACGTGACTTCTGCTGTCGTAACACTGCCCCTTCCTTAGTATTGTTCATCCCAAACAATAGCCAGTTACATTAAACCAATTGATAATTAACAATAACTTTATTAAATGTACAGAATTTACAAACACAAAACTTAAATTCAACAAAGTCTCTTAATTTTACAGGACGTTTCTTCTTTCATACTGGTCTCCGTCTCATTGGCTTCTGCTTCACGTGGGATTCATCTGCTCCATCAGGAAATGTCCCATTATTGGTAGCAGTCACATTAGTGGTAGTAACTTCATTAACGGCTTCACTGTTTTCCTTCTCAAAATCGGGTAGAGTTTCTTCTTCCACAGTGGCTTTTTCAGGCGACACGTCTTCAGTAGTATCATTTGTTCTGTTGTTCATTTCCTGGACCATGATAACGCCAAAACCAGTAGGCATGCACCACCGTTGGCGTACCTCACCAACCACATTTTATTCGAAAAGTCACGTCTGAGAGACAATCCACTATGTCATATGGGCCTTCCCATGGAGAAGACAACTTAGGAGACTTCCCTTTGGTTTTCCTGGGATTATACAACCAAACCTTGTCTCCTGGTAAAAAGCAGACTTCAGTAGGTTTCTTATCATAACATAGCTTCATAGAATCAGCAGACTTTTTTAAGTTCGAATGCACCTGATGATGAATGCAGTTCATATAGCATACCAAACCTGAAGAAGAAATCACTAATAGCCGAAGCCACAGTTGCAGCTTCCTGATTTGGTATTGCATATGCCTCATGCCACTTGGTGAAATAATCCATCACCACACATATGTACTTGTTTCCAGCATGTTTTTGGGGCAACAAACCAGCAATATCAATGGCTACTCTTTCCATTGGTGCACCAACTTGATATAACTTCATTGGAGCTCGTCCCTTATGCTTGGATCCCCTTTTATCACAACATGTACTGCAGGTCCTGCACCATTCTTCCACATCTTGCCTCATACCTATCCAGTAAAATCTCTGCCATAGGTCTCAATGTTTTCTTAACTCCAAGATGTCCTCCTGTTAAACTATCATGGGATAGATGCAGCACAACTACCCGTAACTTTCTCGGTATAACTGTTTGCCAGGTCATCACTTTCCCATCTGCAGTTTCCCATCTCTGGACAAGACTACCATCTTCAAGCTTCAACTGGTCCCATTGTGCCCAAAAGTTTTTTCTCACAGGGCTTAAGCTAGACACCATCTCCCAAGCAGGGCACAAAACACTTGCTTGTAGAAAATCAATTATTGGCTTCAAATCTTGGTTTTCTCCTGTTCTGCTTTAATATCTATACTTGGTTCCATTTCACCATCATCAACTCCTTTAGCCTCTTTAACATTAGCTTGATGGCACCTGATTAATTAAACCTCTCTTTTGCAACAATGCCTGCAGTCATTTTTGCAGGGTCTTTGGCTCAGTCCATCCGCATTTCCATGAGATTTTCCTTCTCTTTTTTCACTATCATAATTATACTGGTCTATCTTTCCAATTCAACATGCCAGTTGTCCCTCTGGGTTCTTTAATGATCTTAACCAGCGTGATGCAGCATGGTCTCTCCTGATGGTAAACCTGACACCATGGAGGTAAGGATGGAAATATGTCAGATGCTTTACTATAGCAAGGAGTTCTCTTTGTGTTACACGGTAATTCATCTCTGGTCTACTCAGGACCCTACTGAAGTAGGCCCCCACATGTTCGTTTTCACCCACTTTCTGATACAACACTCCTCCATTTCCGACATTACTAGCATTACAATCCAGTATGTATGGCAATGAGGGATTTGGAAGCTTTAAAATTGGAGCTGAGTCTAATTTTTCTTTCAATGTCTTAAAAGCATGCTGGCAAGAAACTGTCCATTCAAACTTCTGGCTTTTTTTTGTCAAATTATGTAGTGGAGCAGCTGTAGTTGCAAAGTCCTTCACAAACTTCTGGTAATAGATACATAGTCCCAAGAAACCTCGTAACTCTACCACATTGTCTGGTGTTGGCCAATCATGCACTGCTTTCACCTTGTCAGGATCAGTTCACACACCATGCTCACTTACAAGGTGACTCAAATAAAACACCTCTTTCTGGAACAACTGGCATTTCTTGGGAT